GGGGGGCGGCAAGGAGCAGGGGAGGCTCTTAGTGGGAGAGGTTCCCCTGGATTAGAAAATGGACTTTATCTCATAGGGTTTTTCTTTAGTCTTGTGAAAAGTTCCCCCAAATTAGTAAGTGTGTGGACTGAGCACCTATGAGGTGGATTCCACAACAACCCCATTCTAGAGATGAGGAAACCGAGACACTTAGGTTAAGAAACCTGTCCAGGATCACTCAGCTAGGAAGGGACAGAACTGAGATTCAGTCCAGACCTTGTCCCTGGACGTGTACTCGTAACCCTTGGGCTCATCCACCTCTGTACACAATCCTAGGTAACAAAGTAGGAAAATGGGCAGCCCTGGTCCCAGGTGGAGGCAGCTGCTGGCAGATTGGTCTGCTGATCAGGAGCAGCTGCCGCCCCAGATGAAAGAAAGCGGGCAGGGCTGGGGGGGCAGCTTGTCCTATCACCAGCGCTGAGCACCTGAAGCCATGACCCTCTGAAGCCATGACCCTTCGAACCCTGGGGCTCTCTGCTTTCAGAGACCGTGGGTACTGCTGGGGTCCAGGTGGCTGAGCCAAGAAGCTATTGCCCAATGTGAGGAGAACCTGGGCTGCCCCGTTCCTGATTTCCAGGCCAGAAGGAGACAGAGCCCCTGGTATCCCAGCTCCCAGGAAAAACGCTTTGTGGCAGACCCAAGGCCTAGAATGGCAGGGTCCTCTGCGGATTGGGAAAAGAGACCAGAGAAGGTAAGTCCCTGCAGCCAGGCCAGCGCTTTGCCCCACAAAACTTATCCCGAGTGGCGGTCCTGGCCTTCCACAGGTAGAGGTTTGTGGTTCATCTTTGAACCCTAAGGACTTGGCCTCTGACCCAGGGCCTCCAAGTTGATTTGGGGTTGGGGAGTGAGGCTCCCACTCTACAGTGGACCCAAAATCTGTGTTCACAGCCTGCATTCCTGTCCACCATGGGCTCTGGACTCCGTGGGCGGCAGACAGAGGGCACCACACTGCAGCTGGCCCTTGAACAGCACAGGGTTGCGGGGGTTAGGGGTGTTGGGGTTGAGGGGTTAGGGGTTAGGGCTGCCGGCTGCCCTCACAGTTGAAAATCCATGTATGCTTTTGCACACATGGATTCCCAGCTGAGGAGCTGACCCTTGAACAGCTCAGGTGTGAACTGTGCAGGTCAATTTTAAAACTCTGCGTATAAGTGGACCCTGTTCAAACTCACGGTGTCCAAGGGTCAACTGTACTTCGTGCGGACCACCACCAGGCCCTCCTCCATGCCATCGCCTTCACTGTAGCCAGGCTGCGCTCTCCTCCCGGAGCACAGTATCTGAACCCCCGCCGATTCCAACAAGAAGCTTAAACTGGGAGCTGGACACAGTCCTCTCCAACCAACCCACATTGATCTGATAGTTCCCCGGGTCACACCTGCTGACCCACCCACCTTTATTTTCCTGTTCCCCCTGCCCAGAGCACTGCTCACCCCACAAACTACTCCTGACCAAGCACCATCCGGCTGTGAGCTCACGGAGGCGGAGGGCAGAGATCATAGCCTCATTATGTCCGCATCCCCACTGCACCTACTAGGGCTCCTTTCCCTAGGCATCCAAGAAATAAATTCATTTGTTCAAGAGACACTGACTGAGCACTTTCTGGCTGAGTGACTAAGAGCTGAGCTAGGAACTGCACGTGTGGCCAGTTGAAGGGGATAAAGGTATTTAGTGGTGTGCTCCCCGCCTTCTAAAAAACGTATTTTCTCCCAACCAGCCATTGTCTATGTTGGGTTGTGACCTCAGAAGATCTCTGGTTGGTTTAGATGTTGAGCTGTAAGAGGTTAACGTGTCCATGACTCACAGGCACTGACACACAAGCAGCGCTCACAGTGGGCATCGGGCAGGTATGAGGCTATCCACGGCCCACACACTGCACCGGCCCCAGGGGTGAGCACTGCTGGGGCCCATCGAGTTCTGTCCCTGGGCTCGTCTCAAGGAAAGAGTCATCAGGACTGGAAGGAGCCTGAAAGTCCATCTGTTTCAAGCCCTTCATCTTACACTCGGGAGCCTGAAGCTCGGTTGGCAGGGAACACAGAAGCTGCTGGTAGGAGTTCAAATGAGAAACCAGGCTCAGCGGTGCTGTGCTGTGCTCTGGACATCACCCGTGCTCATGGATGAGCTCAGCTCTGCTAGCAGGACACAGGGGAAGGGCGCTGCTGGGACCTAGTCTGGGCTCTGCTACCCACTTTCTAAGTGATACGGTAGGTCTCTAGACCTTCCTGGAACTCCTCCTCCCCCTGGAGGGAGGGAGATGGCCTAGGTCACAGCTGACATCCCCTTCTGCTAACGTCTACGGGATCCAAAGCTCCTCTCCTTAGCAA